CTTTATTTTATAAAAAGGACTCCCTCACCCTCATTAGAGAGCATCGCCACCAGCTGAGCAACCGCCTCGCTGCGAGCATCACTCCTAACCCATTATTTATGTACTGAGGAGCGCCCTTATTTTATAAAAGGGACTCCCTCACCATCATTAGAGAGCATCGCCGCCTACTGAGCAACCGGCTCGCCGCGAGCATCAACTCTAGCCCATCATTATGTATTAAGGAGCGAGCCTTTATTCTATAAAAGGGACTCCCTCACCTTCAACGCCACAAGCAGAGCCAACCAAGGCAACATAAGTCACAAGCAGAGCAGCCTCGCAACATGTTCTACTTCTAGTTGAGTATCATTTCACATTGAGAAACGCCTCATATCGAGTATCAGTTCTAGACGACATCTAGTTACTTCGGCCCACATATGGACTGAATTTCAAGTCTCTAGCCAAAAGACTCTCTCGACTGAAGATTTGAGGGACTACTGTTTATACCATACTTAGGACCTCCATATTTAGACCTCGTATAAATATTCGGAGGACTCAAATGTAATTATGTAATAGATGAAGGGGCAAATATGTAATAAGTGATGAGCTTTTATTCTATAAAAGGGTCTCCTCACCCTCACAAACCTCAAGCCTCACATCCCCTAAATAGAGGTCTCATCCTCACCACAGTCCCTGCTCTCAAACTCTTTCATTCTCTGGGTAACTCCCCTTCACACTTGTAACCCATACATACAGTTAGAGAGAAATACAATCAACATCAGTGTGGACGTAACCCAAACATTGGGGTGAACCACGATACATCTTGTGTTCTTTACTTTCTTGCAGATTCACCATCTATGAGCACTAACTTGTTTTTCGAACTGAGCGTAATCGTCATGGAGCGACACCAAATGCCATAGTTATCACCGGTAGAGGCTTAGAAACAAGCATTATTCCGGTATGATTGGAATGATGGCGAAAAAGGGACCAAAGGAATCCTTGGAATCACTCTTAGCATCTGAACGTGTCTCCAATGTTTGAAAATGAGACATCCAACTTATAGGAGTAAGAAGGAGAAGAAAAAAAATTGTAAAGAATCAAAAGCCCAAGTAGAAGTGGAAAAGTTTACCATATTAACGTACCATATCAATTTTATGCTAAAATTTTGTACCAATTGGTAATGATATGGTAACTGTACCGTTTTGGGCTAAACGCTTCATTGAGTAGGAAAAATTATTTGAGCTTGGACTAGGTTTATTTTAATAAAAAACCAGGCTATAATTTTATTTAATGAAAAAGACTTAAATTTTAATGAAAAACTCTTAAATTTTAATAAAAAATGACAAAAAAAAAACTTATATTTTAATGAAAAATACATAATTTTAATATTTTAAAAAAAAAACTGACGCGCGGACTGCGCGCCTCATACAAACTGTTTATGAAACTTACTATACTATTTATGAACTCACTATATTGTTTATGAAACTTGCTACACTGTTTATGAAACTTATTACACTATTTATGAAACTTAACGGTACTACACTGTTTATAAAACTTAATGGTACGACACTGTTTATGAAACTTTCTATACTGTTTATGAAACTTAACGGTAGATGCTCGTCCTAGATTTTCAAGTTCTTTCACCAAAATGCAATAAAAAGATATATATATATAATAAAAAATAAAAAATAAACATGATAGAAATCAATGTCCACGCCATTAAAGTCATGCATGGCTAATAGCTCAATACCATTACTAGAAAATGGGTGATGAGTCCAACGATGTTGTCACAGCCCGTCTCTGATTTTACGAAAATGCACTAGAGGTGAAGGGTTTTTTACTTTCGTTGACCAACGTATAGTGAGAAGTACGAAATTATTTCAGCGTATTCCTGAAATACTCGACAATACGAGCACAAGAGGATTTGGAGTTACGGTTAAAGTTTTTACGGAACTCTAACCTGAGAAGTACTTTTACTTTGGTTAATATATATATATATATTTATAAGTATTATTATTTTATTAGTTGTTATTAGAATGATTAGAATATGGGAAAGAAAGAGGGGAATCGGGAAGAAGAAAAATCAGGGAGAGAGACGTCGAATAGAGGAGGAAGAGCTCCGGGAGTGAGAGAGAGAGAGTTGGAGAATTAGGAGAGGAGAGAGGAAGGGCTGGCCAACCAGAGAAGAGAGCAGGAGGGAAAGGAGGAAGAAGAAGAACTAGCTAACTGGACTTACGACCCGGTTCCATATTACAACCCGGTTCTTAACCCGGTCGTATCTCCTTCGCCCGAGGTCCGTTAGAGGTGATTCCAGTGTCTATGGAATGTTCTCGACGAGCCCAACATCCCTGTGGTGGTAGATTATCAACTTTCTTGTCAAATTTATTCGAATTGAAGCCGTACACCCACGGTGGTTCCGGCGGGTTTTTCCTTTCTCCGGTGAATTTTGAAATGATTCCTTCCAATTACCACCACCATTATACTCCCTTAGAACCCAGGAACAAATCCCAGGCAGTGGTGGAGGCGTCAGAGCATGTTTGAAGGTCGAATCGAATCACACCAAAAACTAGGGTTCCGACGGGTTTTGATGAAATTGGAGCCTTTCCAAGCCAAATTGGCTTTGGTCATAGGTATGAAAGTTGTTCTACTCTTTGAGATATTCAATTATGTAATTTTTGAGAAATTTTAAAAATAGTTTAATTTTCGGGCGAGCCCGGGCGGCCCGTGCGGCGGCGCGTGGTCAGTGGCCCGCCAATGTCATTCTTAGCATGTGTTTAATTTTCTAGGTTCATTTTTTATAATTGATTGACGTAAATTGAGTAATTGAACCTAAGTTCGTTACGATTCGTGGTTAGGTGAAAATATGAATTGACGATCCGACAGTTGGATCATCACCAATCTTTGATACGTTGTAATACGTTATATTTGAGGATTATAGGAACTTACGGATTGGGAATCCGATTTACGGATCTTCCGGAATTGGAGTTGTAAGTTCATAAAATACAATGTTAAACGTCACTTGGTTTTGACAATTGACGGAGATCCGACCGTTGGATGTTAAGGAAATTTTAGGATGTTGTTCTAGAGATATATTGTGGACCTCTGGAAGTTATGGATTGGAAATCTGAGTAGCAGATCTTCCGGATCGAAATTTTAGGATGTTGTTCTAGAGATATATTGTGGACCTCTGGAAGTTATGGATTGGAAATCTGAGTTGCAGATCTTCTGGATCGAACTACGTAGTGACATGTTTTATATAAGTTATATATTCTATGGATAAGAGTTCTGAGATATGGTTTGATAACTGTTTTAGGCACCGAGCGTTCAGGACGCCTTGGTTCTTATGTTAGGGAGTTGTAGCGCAGACCCCAGGTGAGTGGGCAGTATTTTCTGTATATACCTATATATTATTGATTTTTCCCAGAAATTGAATTTAAATGAAAGTATGTTTTCAAATGCCATGCATGCATATTATATGAAATATGTGAATTAGTATTTGATGTATATATGTTAAATGGTGTTGTGGACGCACAGGTGAGTATCAGGTGAGTTTATATTGTTCATATGATTTATTGATGATGTGAATTGTGTTGAGAGCTCATAACCTGCACCTTTGGTGTTAGTGCTTATATTATTCACCCCGCACCACACGCTCACCTTGGATCCAAGTAGGTGCATGTCGTACAGACCATGAGAGGTGGTTCCGACATGTCGTACAGACCATTAGAGGTGGTTCCAACTTGTAGGTGACTTTAGATATTTATACAGCTGTTGATGAGAGAAGCACTAGAGCGTATTCTTACACCATCCTTGTCGTACAGACTACTTCAGGTAGTTCCGATTTATGTGCAGAGTAGTGCCGTACAGGTCACAGTTGGTGACTCCGGTTGGGTTGGATATTGAGCTATAGAATTAACAGTACATGATAGCTGCAGGGTCTCCGGTTGATTCCTTATTTCACTTGTTATATTGTTGCATCCTTATTATGTTTTGATGCATAGCATGACATACTTTCTGGTTTTGATAAAGATTTGTGAATTGAGCTATTTGAAGATTTATATACGTATTATATATTATTTTTCTGGGAAAGTATACAGGTTTTACAGCGAGGGGTTAGAAATGTTATTAAATGAAATATTTTCGAAAAACTTTGTTTTACTGACCCACTCAATCTTGTTTTGTGCCCCTTCAGGTTCTAGTTAGCAGTGTTGGTGGCTCACGAGGATTCTCACGGTGTTCTGACAGAATTCACAAAAGTAGGACTCACCCTCGGGTGTTACATCTTAGTAATTGTATCTTTAAAGCTTCCGAACTGTGTAAATGGTTACGTCACTCTCACGTGACGGCCAACATGCCCTCCTTCGGGACGGGGTGTGTCAGATGTTGTCAATAATGTTGCCCTACTCTACCCCCAACCATCCCAACCCACACCTGACCGACTTCTTCCCAACCATACTGCCCCAAATGTGGTTTTGAATCGAATAGAATCCACTTCAATTTGAAATTTTAATTTTAGAGGAATAAAATATAATTGAATTATGTTAAAGGGTTATGCAACTAAGGGATTGGTTGGGTGCTCTTTGTCTGCACCTTTAGTTAGGTTTTTTTTGTTTTTTGTTTTTTTGTTTTTATATTTCTCTTGTCATTATCATTAAATAAAGTTATATGATGATTTTTGGTTAAAACTCAAAGTTTTGAAGCGTTTTTCATTAGTTTTCCTTTAAAAGAATGACATTGCCATTACTATAACATGCCAACCGAAAATTTTTGCATACCGAAATTTGATATACCCATATTTTAGCATGGTAATAGTAATGAATTTTGTCATATCAAAAACTTGGTATGGTAATTAATATAAGGGGTTTAGTACGATAACCGTACCGAACCCACATCTATGCCAAGGAGGGACTCTGATACCATCTTAAATGTAGGTTTGGAAGCTTTGAAATTTACTTCAATTGCATTAATTTTGATTGTACTAGAATTCCGGTGTATATAATTACAAGAATCCCTACTGCATAGCTAATTGGTAATTTGGTACAAATTAAGTAATCATCCCATGATGCTCTCCCTTATTGATGTTGATTGAAGTCTAACGAGGGAAAGTATCATAAGGAAATCATTTGAATTTCTCAATAAGTTTCCATCCTCTCTCTCACGTATATACAGACAAGACATATAAATATAGTAGAAATAAGAGATAAGGAGAAGATAGAAGAGTTTATAATCCCATTATCATTTCTTATAAACCCCTCTCTCTCACTCTCTCTTTCTCACTATAGAAAAGGACTCATGGGTTTCTGGGTTCATAGTAGTTTTTGCGCTAGGAGTGCAGCTGTTCTCCTCCTCCTTGTTGTTTGTGATTACCAAGCGGTTGTATTAGCAAATGGTGCAAGAAGTGATGAATCAATATCATCGTCATCGTCGTGTGATTTCTTCAAAGGGAGATGGGTTTTGGACCAGTCCTACCCCCTCTACAATCCTTCCTCATGCCCCTTCATTGAGAACGAGTTTACCTGCCAAAAGAATGGCCGTCCCGACCAGATATACACCAAATACAGATGGCAACCACATGACTGTGATTTAGCAAGGTGCACACCTCTCTCTCTCTCTCTCAGTGATTTCTCTTGTTCTACTTATTATAATGCTTTCTGTTGCTGCAATATTATTGCTTATTGTTTTCCTAGTTGTTGGCTTGGTTCATCCTATATATCTTTTTCCTATGTAAGTGCATTCATGAGATATGGACCAGTTTTACTCTTTTTGCCAGTGTGGCCCTGTAATTTCTGGTGGACCAAAACTAGGGGAAACTTTTTCACTAATTGGTATATAGCAATAATCCTTATGGAACAAGAGTAGAGATATTAAGTTCAAATTTTATGTGACAAAAAATAGAAATACATGAAATTTATAAATTTTTCTGTTTATTTTGGAGACATGAATTACAATGTTTACATTTGAAAATGACTTGTTTTGGTAATTTTTTCGAAATATGAAAAGTAAATTTAGATCTAGTTGTATGTGTCCCTTTTTTACATTTGAAACACATGAACTTAATTTATATACTTCCTGGGGGGAAACATCCTGTGAACAGAGTAAATCAATGTTTTGTTTAAAACAAAATTTGTGGCAAAGGGACCGTGGCCCCTGTGAATACATAAAGCGACTCTCCCCCAATGATTTTCCTGAGAAATATAATGTTTGGCTGCATGGAAATGTCGGTGGTTGCAGCCTTTCATCGGTGACACTTACACCTTTTGGTTTGTGTGAGCTGTGATTGTCTTGGCAATGCAATGGCACAGATGGTGATAGAATTATTAGATTATTTCTTTACTTTTCTAGTCCACCCACCCACTCATATGATATGACCTCTACTCATGTGACAATTAATCAAATTATTTATTAAAGACGTGTTAGAGCTCACGGGATTCGGTGGTGCCATATTGTTGTCATGTGAGTTATTCGTGTTTGATATAAAATAAAATTATCATGTGATTAGGTTCAGAGAAAGAGCTAGGATGATTTTACTACAGCTTATTGTTTTGGACCTAAATGTGTGTGTGAGAGAGAGAGAGAGAGAGAGAGAGAGAGGAGAGAGAGAGGAGGGGGAGGGAGATCTGATATAAAGAAAATGGGTGGAGAGCGGGAGTTCAGTAAACTCTTGGTGAAGAACTGCTTTTACTTTAGGCAAGGGAATTGATTTCAAACTCATGATCAGCGGAAACGAAATTTAAAATCTCTTATTTATAAATGAAGAGAATTACAACTAGATTTTATACTAGAACTTCTATTAAAAAGATAAAAGTAACGATTTATTAAGAATGTTGATGATAACTACAAAACAATTTGGATTAATTTAAACATTACTGTACCCTCAAAAAAATTTATTAGGGCATTTCCATGTAAACAGAAATCCTAATTCTTAATTCCGTGTTAATACATTTGGAATAAATAAATTTACACATTTCATCACCTAGCCTGCTAGAAAGAAAACAATGCTAAATCTATATGCATTGAACCTGCAGCCTTCTGCCAGTTCACTGTCATTGAACTGTATGCCTATATGGATTATGGGAGTTGTTATTAGTATATTGATAATGTGAATTGTTATTAGTATTTCAAAAGGGGTGTGATATCCACACACATTTTTTTTACTTCACACACTCTTCTAATTTTCGGCCGTCGGATCGGATGAAATGAAGAAGATCTAATTGATAGAAATTAACAAAGGTGTGTGAGAAGTAAAAATGGGTGTGTGGATATCACACCTCATTTCAAAAATCTTATTTTACATTTCAAATTTTTTATAATTAAAAAAAATAATACACTTGTAAGGAGTGTAGAATAAAATTTTTAAAATACTAATAATAAATCTCTTGTTGAATGCATAAGCATATTGTGTACTTAAAATGTCAATCGACACTGAACATAATTTTATACTGTAGTAATATAACATAACTATTTGATAGGATGAAAACATTATTGATCTAGCATTTACATGTTTTGCCTGAATAATAGTTTATCCTATGGGAACCTAGCTTAAAGTTTGTGACTACTTTGTTTTCAGATTTGACGCGCTTGACTTCTTCGAAAGATTTAGAGGGAAGAGCATCATGTTCGTTGGAGATTCATTGAGCCGAAATCAATGGCAGTCCTTGACATGCATGCTTCACTCAAATGTACCAACTGCTAAGTATAATGTGACAAGAGTAAACGATGTATCTATCTTCGAATTCATGGTACGTCAAGTTTACATTTTGTTTTGGCCATTGTTTTTTATTTGTATGAGAATAATTCTACTGTCAAATAGTCTGATACGTTGTTGTCAGGATATATGTAGAATTATTCAATAGTACATTTTTATTTGTATATGTAGTCAAAACTGACAATTTATTAACATAATACGCTTAAATTTTTAGCAGAAGATGATAATAGCTGTTTAGTTGATAACCAACGTAATTTAAGTAAAGTCAAATCACACATAAATTTGGTAAGGTGAGTGCAAAGCATCAATCCTAACAGTTTAGGGGTGTAGTCATCTTGGATTTTAGAGGATTTTAATAGACTTTTTTAAGTAACAAATTTTAAAAGATTTTAATAGATTCTACAATCTTACATGGATTTTGACAGATTTATATGGATTTCACTTATAGATTCCTATGGATTTTTTCATTAATTTCTTAGGACTTTTATCATGTCAATCAACGCGTAGCCTACATATGAATTCATCTCCAGTTTCTTCTCAACTACAAAACACTCCACACAAGTACCCAAACTCAAATCCCCCATGTCCCCACACACTCAAGAACTGTTGCCAAAGTCGTTTCATTAGGCTCAAATCCATCACCCCTTATTTCCCGGAACAACCCCACTTCATCTCTAGCACACCCCATCTTGCAATACACAGAAATCAAGGAATTCCACGAAATCAAATCCCTCTTAATAATTTCATCAAACACTTTCCGTGCAAAAACCCACTCACCACACCTTGCATACATAGTAATCAAAGAGTGACTCACTTGTCCATCCTTATTCAATGGCATCCATGATTTGTATTGGATTCGAGTAACAACAAACACTCACAAGCTTTAATCGCAACCTTACCAGCAACGACATTGGATTGTTCATCCAATAAAGGCAAAGCACGAAAATCAAACCCATTTTGGCAGTGGGTGGGTGGGATTGTTCATCCAATATGGCAGTATGTGGGTCACCGGGGGGGGGGGTGAGGGGTGGTGAAAGCAAGTAAGAGAAATGCAGATTTGGAAACCTGTTATGTATAGATGGTGAGCTGCTCACTGGGTTCTCAGGTAGGGCCAAAAATGGGGAAGACTATTCCTCTTCTACATATAGAATTCTTCGTTCTTGAAATGAAATCCTAGGGGTGAATGTTGGATTGTTTATGACATTTGTTATTTATACTTTCAAATCCATCAAAATCATTCACCCATTAAAATCCTAGCAAATTCTTGATATTTTCACTACACCTAGACTTTTGAGGACTTTTTAAAATCCTAATCAACTACCTATGAATTTGGATGTATTCTTTTAAATCCTTTAAAATCCTAATTTGACTACACCATGATTTCAAAATCTTTTAAAATCTCATTGACTACTCCCGAATTTTAAAGTCTATTAAAATACTATCAAATCCTAATTTGACTACAAACCCCCTTACACTTTTCATCACTTTCATTTCCACCAACTACTTCACGTGAAATTAATTAATTTGGTCTCGTTTGAAATTAATTTGACCTTTCAATTCCCTTGGACAACTACTTGACATGAACTTTTGTCATGATCCTACCAAACACGGAGCACGTGATTCAGTCCCAATTTTCTTTCGGGTAAATGACATGGTGAAATTTGTAATCAATACCTGCAGGATTATGAAGTTAAAGTGATGCTAGACCGCAATGTATATCTAGTAGATATTGTAAGAGAAAATATTGGGAGGGTCTTGAAGCTTGATTCAATTGTGGGAGGCAAGTTATGGAAGGATATTGATATGCTCATCTTCAACACTTGGCATTGGTGGAATCGTAGAGGACCCTCGCAACCGTAAAGCCTATAACTATTATTTACTATAATATTTAATCATCTTTTGATTAAGTTTTAACTGTATTTAAAAGGTAAATACCAAATTAACTACTATAATTTTGCAGATGGGATTATGTTGAAGTAGGAGGTCAGAGGAGCAAAGACATTGACCGCATGCTTGCTTTTCAGAAGGCACTCGTGACTTGGGCTGCATGGGTGGACTTAAACATTGATCCAGCGAAGTCTAGGGTTTTCTTCCAAGGAATTTCTCCCTCTCATTACAAGTGAGTTCCTTACCTAATATTACTAATCTAAGCTAATCATCATTGCAGCACTCCAAAAAAGTTATCATATACTCGCAACACTCTTTCTACTGCAATTTCATTATATTTTCATTAACGAGGAGTGTACCTAGAATGATCAGTTTGAAGTGTCAAATAACAGCTTTATGAACTGAATTCAATCTTTGGGTGATATATAACACAATAGTTTTAACTTTTTTAATTAGTTGATATCACTGTTATAATTTTCGAATAATTTGTTTTGAAAACTTGTTTATGAAGTTTGTTCCCAAGACATCAATCAAATTAATAGTTTCTTATTTTCTTTTCTTAATTGTGATTTTAGTGGCAGTGAATGGCATGAACCATGGGCAAGAAATTGTGTAGGGCAGAAGGAGCCTTTGCTTGGGTCGATCTATCCAGGAGCTTTGCCACCAGCTCTGGGTGTGCTGAAGAATGTGTTAAGCACAATAAAAAAGCCCGTGACATTGCTAGATATAACAAACCTCTCACTCCTGCGCAAGGATGGACATCCTTCAACTTATGGGTTGGCAGGCCGCACAGGAATGGATTGTAGTCATTGGTGTCTTTGTGGAGTACCAGACACTTGGAATGAGATTCTCTACAATTTTATTCTTTAAAACATTCATTATTGAAAACCATCGAAAGGATGGAGATTGGACAAGTTCTTAGAAGGAAATGATATGATTTTAAATGATATTCAAATTTTTACATCTCTTTGTTTTTAGTGTGGATCAAATTAAGAGTTTCTGCGGTCGTTTTCAAGTTAGAATTGCGATATGGAAAATCATGCTTGAGCTTAAATTATTGTGGACTAGTTTTGTCTGCACCGAGAAAATACACTTGTTTTTCATATATATATTTGCTGCCGACAATCATTGCAACTATTTACTTTTTTTTTTTTTTTTTTTAGGAAAACTAATGAAAAAGGTTTGAAAACTTTGAGTTTTAACGATAAAGATAAAATAAAGGGTAAAGTGAATAGTACCATGATTGATTTTTTAGTGTAAAAATATGGATTTTTATTAAAGTGAACAGTACCGAGAACTTTTCATTAAAGTTCCCTTTTTTTATTTGGTACTAGATCATTTCCCTTCACACCGTTGGAAGCTGGAAAAAGAACATTGTTTTCTACAAAAAAAAGACAAGGTTTTCTTTAGACCATCTCCAACCCTTGGGCTAAAAGCCAAATTTTTTAGCCCAGAAACATCTTTTCTGCTCCAACCCTTTTGGCCTAAAATTTTAGCCCGGAATTATTAAAAATGAATTTAGGCTATTTTTTTTTCTTAAATCAATTTTTTTTAAATAAATATGTAGATTATTGTAAATTAATTTTATGAACATTTTAATCTAAAAAAATTTAAATTCCGATAAATATTGAAAAATCATTAAATTTTTCACAAAGCAAGCTACTTTCACTAACCTTTCAACTTTCATCAACCGTTCATCTTTCACCAACCGTTCAACTCCAAACTTTCAACTTTCACCAACCGTTCAACACAAAACTTTCAACTTTCACCAACCGTTCAACACAAAACTTTCAACTTTCACCAACCGTTCATCAATTATCCTCTATATAAACACAGGTCCAATATTAGTTGATCACAAAATCTTTCAACCTTCAATCATCCTCTATATTCACCAATCTTTCAACTTTCAAAGAGTTTTTGTTTCTTAAAAATTCTCAATATCTCATCAATGGGTGATAGAAGAAGGCGTAACAGGGCAATGGAGATGGCACAATACCAAGCAAGGCTTGACATTGAGGAATCAGAACTGATCAACGCCGAAGCTGAACTTGTAAACTCGTTTATGCAATATGAGCACCATGGCGAATCTAGCCATCGTGGTTCTGTCACGGGGCGTTCATTCGTGCAGCGTGATAGAGAAGAGTGTCATGACCAAATGATGAAAGATTATTTCATTGAGCGGCCGAGATTTCCTGCTCATAATTTTCGGAGGCGGTTTTGGATGAGGAGAGAGCTTTTTGAAGGCATCTTGAACGCAGTTGTCAATCATGACCACTACTTTGCAAGGAAGATAGATGTCGTAGGCCGACAAAGTCTATCACCTCATCAAAAGCTTACATTTGCATTTCGAATGCTAGCTAATGGGTGCTCTGCTGACTCAACTGACGAATATTGCCGACTTGCGGAGAGTACTGCTATTGAGAACCTAAAGCGCTTCTGTCAAGCAATTCAAGCCATCTATGGAGCCACATACCTCCGCAAGCCAACTCGTGAAGACTTGAAAAGGCTTCTACGCAAGGCAGACAAAAGAGGCTTCCCTGGCATGATAGAAAGTCTCGATTGTATGCATTGGGAGTGGAAGAATTGTCCTACTGGTTGGGCTGGCCAATTCAAGGGCCGTCATAACAAGCCAACCATCGTGTTGGAGGCTGTGGCATCTTACAACACATGGATTTGGCATGCATTCTTCGGCTCTCCCGGATCAAACAACGATATCAACGTTCTTTGGTCTTCTCCTCTGTTCGATGAGGTTGTGAATGGATGGGCACCAGAATTTCGATACAAGGTAAATGGTAATAGGTATGAGCTAGGTTACTACCTAACTGATGGTATTTATCCTAGTTGGTCTATCTTTGTCAAAAGTTTTTCTCATCCCGATAGTGCAAAGAAGAAATTATTTTCGCAGAGGCAAGAGTCTTATAGGAAGGATGTAGAAAGAGCGTTTGGGATCTTACAAGCTCGATAGGTCATTGTTAGAGGGCCTGCACGACTTTGGCAACCCGAAGACCTCCATTCAATCATGATGACGTGCATAATTTTGCACAATATGATTGTGGAAGATGAGTACATCGAAATTGAAGAAGATTCAGACGAAGATGTGGATGATGACCAACCAACACATGCGAGAGCTATTGCAAGAGATGTTGAATATCTCGCTCCAACCACATATGAGACCCGACATGATAGGGTCACCTTGGGTGAGTATATGAGACGTTTAAATAGAATTCAAGCTCCTCAAATTCATGACACACTCCGCAAGGATTTGGTTGAGCATGTGTGGCGCCGAGAAGGTGAACATTGATGATGTTGGTTGAGCATTTATGTAATAATTTTAAGTGTACTATGTTGTTATTTGTCTACTACGTTGGATAATTTATTGAATGGAGGTTGAATTATTGAATGGAGGTTGAAATAATAAGTACAATAATTATTGAAGACATCTAGATTAAATAGAAACAATAATTAATAAGACATAAATTTAATAAAGTACATAAACCACATAATAAACAACATAATAAACAACATAAACTTAATACAAACGACAATTAATAAACTTAATTAATAAAGCACATAATTCATACACTACATAAACTTAACAATCATATCCACCATCTTCACTTGGTGATGAACTTCATTGAAATGTTGGGATATAGGGTTCAGAGGATTTATCATCTTGAAACATACTCCTTGAGGCAGACTTTCGCATAATTTCCTTTTGCTTATCACGTAAGAACTTCTTCCTCTCTGGAGTGTATTTGCTAAGGTCCTTCATCATGAATTCAATTTCAAACCTATTTTCCTCCCTATCCGAGATTTCTTTCATTTGCAAACGCAATCGGGCCGCTTCTTCTTGGCAAGCGCTATGAGTTTCGTGCAATTTTGCAATTCCGGTAGCAAAGTCTCCACTCGTAGAATCTTGGGACTTCCCTTTTCTCTTTGCTTCCTTTTGCTTATCTCTTCTCGGGGGCCTTGCTAAAGAAGGAGATGGGGTCATTTCATCGACACCTTCATTTCTCGGTGCGGCTTCACGTTGAAATAATCTTCCCCATTGTTGGTCTGCATCGGTTGCCCACCTTGGACAATCCTTGAGGACGTCCCAAGCACATTGCAACTTAAAAACTTGATTTTTTGGTGTTACTCTTGTCTTGTAAATCTCCATTGCTTTGTCACCCTATGCAATAAATACATAAAAATAATTAGTTGCAAAATAATATTATGTACATGACAAATAAAATATCAAGAAAAAAACTCACAATTTCTATGGCGCTCCTTCCACTAGGCATGCCAACTATGGCTCTCTCTAAGCTTCCCTTCCATAAAGTGCATGCTTTGTTGATAGTCTTCCACCGATCATAAACACCACCACCATCCCGCCCGCCGCCGTTGCAGTTTTCTTGAAACTTTGAAATGATTTTATCCCACAAAACCTTTTTATTTTGATTTGTGTCAACTGCTTCACTAACAGAAACCCATGCCAAGCATAAAAAAACATCTTCCTCAAAGGTCTAATTACGACCTCTAACATGCTCTCTTGCCATGTTGAACAATTTGGAAATGGAAAGAAATGATAGAAAGATAAATTGGAAGAATTGTAGGAGAAAATTGAATTTTGTGTGGATGTTTGAACAAATACATAGGTATTTATAGAGTTTTTGGGTAAATTTTGTGTTAAATAAATTTATTTAATTATTTTAGCCGTTGGATTTTAATTTGGGCCGTTAGATCTTTTTTTTTACCGTTAGATTTGAGTCTATTCAATCTCAACCGTTGGATTCAATGTATTTTAAAATATCATATTTTTTAAAAATAAAATTTGAATCTGGACCGTTGGATCAACCAATGGTCCTTTCACGATGGCCGTCAGATGCGGAAAAGAGCCATTGGGCTCGGGCAACAGGCCGACAAGGCCTTGACGCTGGGTCCCACGCTGTCGGGAAAGGAAAGCGGGCGCCCTGCATGGGCGCACATTGGAGAGTGAACAGGCCGAAAGTGGCCCAAAGGCCAGCGAGTCCAGTCGCACTTGGGGGGGAAGCTGGGGGGGGGTATTTGGCCCAGAAATAACATTTAGCTTTTAGTCCAAAATTTTAACATGGGTTGGAGAGTGTTTGGGGGAGTAATTGGCTTTTAGCCCAGGTTTGGAGATGGTCTTAGAAGGATCTGCCAATATTTAAAAATGAAAACTTTAACGAAAAGTTCTCGGTACTGTTCACTTTAACGAAAAATCATATTTTTACATTAAAAAATCAATTCTGGTACTATTCACTTTATCTTTTATTTTGTCCTTATCGTTAAAACTCAAAGTTTTCAAACAATTTTCATTAATTTTTCTTTTAAAAATTTGTTGGAAAATAATTCACGTCAAGAAAACGTCCAAACTAACAACAGCTATATCAAAAAAAATGGACAAGAAAGAAAAATGGGTATTTGTATCCAAGTAAACCCCACACGAAAAGAAAAAAAACACCCCACCCAACAAACTCAAATCGATGACATCCATACAGAAAGCACAGTAGCTAGCGTTTGTTTGCATCTTTCACTCTATCTGAAATTGAATTCCTAATCCATTTGCCACCACACACAATGTATATATACACACACACACACACATAACACATACATCTTTATTTCTGTCTCTGTCAACTATGGGAAATATGTTGCAGGGCTTTGGCTTTTTTTCTTATGCCGCTCTACTCATTTTTCTATGCCTCCATTTGGAAGGCCAATATTATTCATATGCAAAAGGATGTGATTTTTTTCAAGGGAGTTGGGTTTATGATGATAGCTATCCACTCTATGACACATCGAGCTGCCCTTTCGTTGAGGAAGAGTTTGATTGCCAGAAAAATGGACGGCCAGACGATCAGTATCTCAAATATAGATGGAAGCCTGACGCATGTGCACTCCCAAGGTAACGATTTCCATGTTTTATATATGTAGAGCTCTACTGATACAGTTGAAGATTGAC